TTGGTGAAAACCGCAGGTTTCTAGCTGCTTCCATTCTCGAGTTATTCAAAAAACAGTGGAGCACATTCTATTTTGAAATGGATAATAGTAAGATTTTCATTAGTTAGCAAAACTAGTATATTGATTATAAGACGTCAAATTATTGTTAGTTTTCTTAAGCAACATCTCCTTCGAAAGATCATTAAAAAGTTAAGAAAACAAGACTTTTACGAACATTTTCTAAGTCTACTACGTTGACTAGCATTTTTTTTGAAGATTTTTCTATTCATGTAATAACTCATCTCTACTCGGTATTAACATTTTTTTTTCCAAATCTCTCCTTTCGGAGTGCTTGGAGTGAATATTACGAAAAAACTAAGTTTCTCAAAAAATATATTGTTCGATTTCGTTTTATCCTCTGCTTTCAATTCACTATTAGTTTTTTCTATCACAATAGACTATTATGATAGAAATTACCAAAGATAGATACAATTATAGGAGGTGTCTATGTTTTTTATATCAATATAAATCAAACTCAAATTATCTCAAATAAAATGAAACAATAGAGCTGAATAGTTACATTTGAAGTTAAGAGCCTAACAGTTCGAAATAATTTATAAGTTTTCGTTGTGGATCTTATCATAAAAACCTAGTGAAATTTATAAACATGTTCATAAATATATGCTTTGATGTAATCTTAATATATTTCTATTCGACTGGATATTTCTAGATAGTTCCATTTAAATTCAATCAAATTAAATTCTCTACTCATTTAAATACTCACAACGAATATCACCATTCCTTATGATTTTTTTTGCAACGCAAAAAAAAACAATTTTTCTGATGTTTTCTGTTTAAATCTTATATTCAACTCTTTCCTTTTTAAATGAGTTTTGGAGATGACGCGCAATCTTTGCTGAATAATTTTTTTGTTGTACCTTATGCGAAATAGGGATGACTAGAAAATGAATTCAGTTTCACTTTATCATCGTCTTCGAGAGCATCAATTTTTTTCAAGTTTCGAGATTTTCGTGAACAAATCTCTACTTGACAATGTTTAGGAAAATCATTTTTCTTGTTGTTGTGTACTCAAAAAGTGAGTACACTCTAGAATCGGTCAGTGTGTCCGGCCGTCCGTTTACACGATAACTTTGGAAAGGAGAGTCGGATCGCGATGAAATTTTCTACACAGTTTAGTCTCAACAATATTTTCGTCGAGTTCGAAGATGAGAATGATTGACCGGACCATTGCTGAGTTATTGCAAAAATAGTCATTTTTCCCTATGTGAAGATCGACCTATTTCCGCTTCTGTAAAAAACTTTTCCTATCATAGTCAAATAAAACCCTAACTATTATATACCATTTGATAGAGAATTTTACGAGCTACAAAATGGTATATAAAACATAAGGAAACAAGAAAGCTAACTCACCTATTGCAAAGATAATTAAACGGAATTCGGTTCTGTTTTTGTCCACGCTCTAATTGATCCACAATTAGAGCTTTATATTCCGATCACAGAGATGATAGTTCGAGGTTTTCTGGGGTGGAGAACTCGAATCTGTGTTTTATTCGCCTCGAAATTTCATTGGTTGAGCAATGACCAATAGAAATCAAGTTATAGAAAAAATGAGTTTCTTAGGGTAAATCAAGGTGAAGAGTTCAAATCTGAGCTGTATTTACCTCCAAATCCTATTGGTTGAGCAGTAGCTAATAGAAATCAAGTATTTATAGAAAAGGTTTGCCAGGACAATTTTGATGTCCACACATTCTAGGATGACTCATCTGTCTCATTCACTTTTTGAAGTACACATAACTCTCGAATTCAGATCGGAGGTTTCCGCATTTATTTTCAATGTGCTGGAAAAAAATTCAAGTTTATTGGATCTTAGAAAACATGATAGTTAATAACTGAACGCTTTTTGAATGAAGTGATTTATTTTTATAAGAAATGTTCCATCTATTGAATGTCAGTCTTATGAAGAATTGTATTCCTTTTTGTTTGTTTCTATTACTCCTGATAATCTATCAGCCGATAAACGGCTAGCTTTGTCGGTTGAGAAGCAACCAGCCGTTTGCTTGTGTCTAAATTTAGTCTTGTTATTTATTTGCACCTGAAAATAGGAGTTTTTCAATGCTGGATTAATCGAATCAACTATAAGCGTACCAGTAAAGTTTATTGTCTCAGTTTTAATTTCACTAACGTTTTGTGTCATTGCCACATCTTTATTCTAGATATGGATATACTGCGAGAAACAATTCTCAGAAACAAGAAACACTTTTGTAATCTCTATATGATGAGTTTTGTTTTTTGCATGTTATAGAAGTTCCATGTAATTTCTATAAGGTTTTTTGATACTCATAGAATCTGCCTCTTGAAGTCTTGTGAGGTCCTATGAGGTTTTATGAAGTCTTGTGAAGTCTTATGAAGTTTTGTGAAGTCTGGCAAAGTCTTGTGAAGTTTTATGAAGTCTTGTAAAGTCTTATGAAGTCTGATGAAGTCTTATAAAGTCTCAAGAAGTCCTACAAAATCCGTGAAGTCTCATGAAGTCCGTGAAGTCTCACGAAGTCTGTGAAGTCTCACGAAGTCTTTTGAAGTCCTCTGAAGTCTCATGAAATTCTATGAAGTCTTGTGAAGTCCTTTGAAGTTCTATGAAGTCTTAGGAAGTCTTATGAAGTCTTTAGAAGTCTTTAGGAGTCTTGTGAAAATATGAAGTCACTGCGGTTGAAGTCTGTTGAAGTCTGTTGAAGTCTTTTGAAGTCTTGAAGTCTTGAAGTCCGCTGTTTCCCCCTTGGACAGATCCTAACACATGAATATGTGAATACTCGACGAGTCGACTAGCTGAGTGTCCGAACAGTGATTTGTATGTTTGAGTCTTGCATGTATTAGAGCAAGAGGAAGATTTTAAACACTATTCAATAAAACAATTTGTTGCATTGATAGCTATTTGACACGTAACTATCGATACTGGAAAAAACAAGGTATTCCAGGTCCGCGACCATGGCCATATTTTGACACCTATCTCAAGCAATTCTTCATACCATTTCTTGAAACTGAAATGCAATGGTACAATCAATATGGAAAAATTTATGGGTAAACTTGATATGAATTATTTTTACATTCTTTTATTACATTTTGTTCGCTTTATTTAGAATATATGATGGCTCAAAGCCAGGTAATTACACACAGATGAAACCAGAAGTTTTTGTCTGTATGATTACTGTTTCGGATTTGTAGGAATCATCGTTGGCGATCCTGATTTGATAAAACAGATCATGGTGAAAGATTTTTACATTTTCACAAATCGTCGTCCAGTCAAAACTACTCATCCGATTATGAGTAAATTCTTGTCTTCCCTCGTCGGAGAAGCGTGGAAACGTGTCCGTGCAATAGTGACACCAACTTTTACTGGCAGTAAAATAAAGAAGATATTTCACACAATGAAAAATTCATCGAATGATATGTTGAACTGTTTGGAAGAAGTAGCCAGAAGACAAAACGGCGAGATCGATCTGAAGGAATTATATGGTGGCTATACTATGAATGCCATTGCAAAGTGTGCCTTTGCAACAGAGCCTAATAACATTTTTGTAAAGAATGCAACAAAACTATTTACATTTCCATTTTGGCGAAAATTTCTCGACTACGCAGTTCCTATGTGGCTATCGGATTCCATAAAATTCACAGTTTTACCGCCAGATGCAATGGACTTCTTTCGTTCAATCACTGTTGGTCTTATTCATCAGCGTTTAGGTATTGTCAACCATCATTATAGCGATCATCATGATTTTTTAGAACTATTGATGAAGGCAAGGAAGCTTGGCTCAAGTCAAATATCTGAGTCAATCAAGGACATCGACGATGCATCGTTCAAGAAACAAACTGATGATGAGAGAAAGCTAAATCAAAATACATTGATAGGCATAAAGAAACATGGCGGAAACAAGACATTGAATGAAAACGAAATACTGGCGCAAAGTGTTCTATTTTTCTCTGTTGGCTTCGAAACATCGTCGCAACTATTAGCTTACTGCATCTATTGTTTGGCACTTAATCCTGATTGTCAGGAACAGTTGCATGATGAGATTGAACAAACACTCAACAATAGTCACGGTCAGATCGACTACGATATCGTATCGAAAATGGCTTATCTGGACATGGTTATATCTGAGACACTTCGTCTCTACAATCCAGTTTTACGTATGGAACGGCAAGCGTCTGAAGATTATATCCTAGGAAATACAGGCATTGTCATTAAAAAAGGGATGATTGTTGGAATTCCTGTTTGGGCACTTCATCATGACCCACAGTACTATCCAGAACCCTATGCATTCAAACCGGAACGTTTTTCAACAGAAAATCGAGAACATATTGTACCTTACACATACCTACCGTTTGGTGCTGGACCAAGAAACTGTATTGGTACACGTTTTGCTTTGTTAGAAACGAAGATAGCCCTCATTAAAGTTCTCGCAAAATATCGTTTTGTTCCATCGAAAAATACACGAATTCCACTTCGGTTTTTACCTGTCGGTCGACCTCTTCTACGTTGTGAAAACGTGATTGTTGGTGTCGAAAAACGATTCTGACCATCGGATCTATTTAAATCATGCCTTTTTTTAAAGTGAAATTTTGCATCATGCTCTATTATGTAAGAAAGAATAAATGAACAGAAAGATTTGATCTCCGAAAATTCAAGCGAATTTTCTAGTCTTTACTAGTGATGTTCCAATGATCCGTCATTCAGAACACTGACGAGTACTACTGTGAACGAAAACTAAGGGTGTGAGTGTGAGTGTGAGTGTGGATGTGGGTGTGGGTGAGTGTGGGTGTCGGTGTGGGCGTGTGTGAGTGTGGGTGGGTGGGACTGTTAATATTCTCTCTTACTACACCCACACCCACACTCACATTCAAACCAACACCCACACCCCCTCGACACACACTCAACCACACCCACACTCTCTTAAATGTAGGTTCATAATATCGAGATGAATCGCGCATAGTCTGATATTTAATAATCAATTGATATAACTTCTTTTGGTCGTATGTGATGGTTTTTCGAAAAAACGACGGAAACACAGCGAGTAGATTATCAATCCTTATTTGGCATCGAACAGTAGCTGAGTTTATCGTTAATTTAAGTGAACAATATCGATAGATGATACTGTGATTTTAATTAAGGTATTTCTATGGGAACGAATGCTACATGTCTGATGATATCTATCAGTACACCACATTGTCTCCCGTCTTAGAAGTATATGTGAGATGGAGATATTTATGCATTCCTTCCAGAAGTACATTTACTGACAATGATTTCTAGATTCATTGAGTATATACTGTGTGGTGAACTTTTATTTTAAACAAAAATATCAACTTGTCTTTTTTTATGAAATTTTTGCAGTAGTCTCGAAGTTTGTTTTGTTTCTGATTTTTTTATATTCAAGCAGTGAACATGTCAATTATAAATATATTTGTAGTACTCGAGATGCTCTATCGAATGAAAAAAAAATTTTGAAACACTTCCGTATTATAGTGAAATGTGACCCAAAACAAAAAAGTGGTGTGAGACTTATGACGTCCACTGTATATGCACGTTTCATACCTCATGGCAGTATTCAAGAAATGTGTAATGTATTACGAAATGACGGCAATTAAATTTAAATATTACAATAAAAATTAGGAGTCATTTTTTTTTAGGAATAAAGTTTACTTCTGATAGCTCTACGTTTAATTATACATGGTGTAGAATAGATCAAAATAAAAAAAAACAGAATGAAAATTAAATTAATTTACGTAAGAATGTCTTTAAATTGACCATATTAAATATAGACATGAAATCATTTTTCATCGTGATTGTATCGTTAAATGTTTCGACAATGGGCTTTATTGGATCAATTTTTTCGACAATATAATTTGCCAGCCATTTGAAACCTTCACGAAGACCTTGATTTTGAATAGCAGATGCTGGTTGTAAACGCAATTTGGTATTCGTATTGAGTTTAGCCAAATGGAGTTTGTCTCGAAGTTCATCAAGAGTCATTGCATCGGGCAAATCTTGTTTATTGGCAAATATGAGAATAGGTTTTTCTCGAAGTTTGTCTTTATTCGCCATTAAATGAAGTTGTTCACATGCTTGATCAACTCTATCTCGATCATGTGAATCGACAACAAAAATCAATGCTGACATTCTGTCGTAGTATTGTTGCCATAAAGCCCGACTTCCTAAACGTCCACCAATAACCCAGACCATTATAGAAGCCTCATTAATTTCTATTTTTTCGTAATCGATACCTATTGTTGGCATAATTGTAGCACCTTCACCATGTTTTATCGTGTAGAGAATTGTTGCTTTACCTGAATAAGAGTGACTACATATGAGATGTGTAAATTAAAAGAATTATATTTAATATTTAAACATTAAAACAAAGCTCTTCATTAAATGCACAAAATATTTTCTGGAAAAATTACACTTTGCACCACCTTTTCATTCCAAACACCGGTTGAAGTAGGCCGTTATGATCTTCGGACATAAGGAAAAAGGCAGGGTGTTCGTAATTATGTTAAGATTTACTGGTCTTTGAGAGAATGTGAACTGACTCGCTTGTTTTATAGTCATTTCTGTCTAAAAAAACAAAAAAAATGAGTCTTTATATTCGTTACGATTTCCTAGTGAATTCTTTTACGATCTCCTTGTCAATGTCATTCTATTGCTTCAGACTTTTCATGTAAAATATCCTTAGATTTACACTCTGAACATCTGATCTTGTTCATTACGATCTCCAGGGATACACAGGTATACCAAGAAGCATTGTATTTCGAACATCCAGTCAAACCATTCCGATTTCCCTGCTTTTCTGTTACGATCTCTTGTGAACAAATGTTTACGAACTACTGTCATAAATCTTTAAGGACAAAAATTCATTTCCGAACACCCGAACTCATGTCTGGAGTTCGGAAACGGATGGTGCGAAATGTAATTTAATTAGATCGGAAAAAACCTGGAATTTTTGACAGATCGGATCAGATTATGTTCATAGACTATGGACGATGAGCCAGATGATAAAAACAAACGTATGTACATACGTACCAGCTGCAAAGGGTCCAACTATGAGCACTGATGGTGGCTTATTTGTCTTGTCAACATATGTCACTCCCTTTTTCGATGATGAACTCATTTGCTTGGACAATGCTTGTTGTTATGACCGATGGTCGACTGAAGTTACAATTTTATGCTTTCTGTTATAAATATTAATTACGATGCTTTACAATGAAGAAGTGTGACTAAGAGGCATGTTATATACTTTTGTTCGTATACGTGGCAAAAATTACACAACCATAATGCAATTCTTCTTGGTGAATCACGCTAGAGCCGAACGTTGTAAAAACATAATAATATCGCTTTTGATGACAACAATCTCAAGACACATAGAAAGAGACGTATTCTGTAGATGAAATATAAGTGTAGTGGACAGAAAAAGTTTAGAAAAATCTTGCTTTTTATCCAACTTTCTTCGTGTGAAGGTCTCATCCCTCATAAATTACCAAAATCTTATCTAATGAAAACCTTCAGAAATATGATACAAAAATTTTATTGAGAAAAATATTGAAAAATTCATACTTCTTCAACCAAAGTTTGTGGGACTACTTTCATTTTTACTGTCGGCAACATTGTGCTTGTGAACAACGCATTGTCAGATGCACATAATCTTTACGTTGGATCATCTCAATAGTAAATTGCGTTTGATATATCTTTCTTTCTTTTTACAGCCTTACCATTTCAATGTGTTCGTTTCGCCACACTTTGATCTATTTATTTTATTGTAATAACTAACAAACGATTGTGTAAAATTACGGAGAAGAAAATTGGAAAACCATCCGTAATTGAGTCAAAAACTATTGTTCTTGTAGAAACTTATCTGTACAGGATGTGTAAAAATATTATTCCAGGGAATAACATTATAATTTCAAACAGAGTAAGTAATGAATTTTATGCTAAATGAAAGCTCGTCGAAAACGGGATTTATCAGTACTAAATAGTAAGAGTTATCAAAACTTTTTAACGTTGAACTTAATAAATTTTCAGAAATTTTACACTTTTTTTGCCGTAGAAAATTAAGGCACCAATAATTCAAAAA